AAACAAATTATAAAAAAAAAATGGGGGCTGGAGAAAGGTCGATCAATGGTTAAGAGCATGCCTTGCCTTTTCAGAGGATGTGAGTTCAATTCCCAGCACAAAAACCTGTTACTCCAGCTCCAGGGGTGTCTGAGGCCTTCTGGTCTTTGCAGGCACCTGCACTCATGTGCACACACCCACACATAAGTACACAGAATTAAAAATAAAACAAATCGGGCTGGGTGTGGTGGCCTCATACCTTTAATCCCAGTACTTGGAAAGTAGAGACAGGACTGTTAGTTTCAGGCCATCCTGGTCTATCTGGTGAGTTCCATGCTAGCCAGTGCTACACAGTAAGACCCTGTCACAGTGAATGAATGAATAAAATATAGTGTCTTTGATTTTGAAAGTTGTTTCATGCAATATATTCTATCAGGGCTTCCCCTTTCTATCTCCTCTCCACCTCCCCACCCCATCCAGCTCCATATCTCCTCTCCCTCTCTCTCTCTCTCAAAAAGAGAAACCATATCTTAAGAAACCAAAACCAAACAAAAAACCAAAAAAACCTCTCAGAATAAACCTATAATAATAATAATAATAATAAAGAAAAACCACAAGAAACATGCCAAAAGCAAACCAAACCAAAAACAAAAAAACAAAAAATAAAAAAAAAACCCAAGTCCATAAAAACACAAAATTGGAAAGTATAATGTACAAGCAAAAGGCCAGTAAAATGAAAAAAATTATGAAACAAAAAGTCTACAAAAACACCATTGAGTTGTTTCTGTACACGGGTCCTGCCCCTAAGTATGGTTCATTAAACCAGCGAGACTCCATTTGAGAAAAACAAAATTTCCTTTGCAATTATCAAGCGGAGATGGCTTCTCGGTTAGGGGTGGGAGCCATGTCCGCTTCCCCCCTCTGTGCTGGGACTCCGTCTGAGTCCTACTTGGTCTGGAAGGCCCTGTTTCCTTGATGTCGCCCCCTCCTCTCCTGCATGGCTCCCTGAGTCCTGAAGGGAAGGGTTTGGCGAACACAGTCTGTTTAGGACTGAGTGTTCCGAAATCTCCCTCTGCACACTGTCCAGTTTGGGGTCTCTTTGTTAGCTCCCATCTACTCCAAGAAGAGGCTTCTCTGATGACGGCTGAGCAAGACACTGATCTCTGGGTATTGCAGAATGTTGTTTGGAGACATTTTATTGCTGTATTCCTTTAGCATAACAATAGTATTCAGCTTTCCCACAGGCCCATGGCCCGTCTAGTCTCAGGTTCCTGGCACTGTCAGGCGAGGGTACCACCTCATGGAGTGGGCCTCAAATCCAATCAGATAGAGGTTGGTTGCTCCTGCCATGTTGTGCCACCATTACGTCAGCATGTCTTTCAGGAAGGCCAGTGCTGTGGGCCACGGGGCTTGTGGCTGGGCTCGTGGTTGCCCTTCTCCTGTGGTACCAGGCAGGGTGCCTTCCAGTACCATGAACACTAGTCAGCAGGGGTGAAAGTTCTAGCCAGGCACCAGCTCCAGTTCTCCGTGTTCAGTGAGTCATGTAGGTGTCGTCTTCAGCAACAGGGCTTTACTATCAGTTTGTCGAGAGCAACCAATAGTCTTGGCAGTAGCTGGGGTTGTTTGGGGGTTCCCATGGGGGCCCCTCTGTCCGACAATTCAAGTAGATGTAAATCATTCCTGACACTGGAGGGTTCACTTGGTGGTGAAAGATGTCTAGCTGGGGCACTGTCGTCCTGTTATTTTGTGACACCATCTAGATCTTCCTTTCACCTTCCCATTTAATCCTCCCACTCTGGTCTCCCCATAACTACGTCTTCTATTTCCTCTTCCTTGAAGATTGCCCCTCCCCCAGTCTCTATACCTAACTTCTGTGGTTTTACAGATTGTAGTATATATGCTGAAGGCTTAAAAGCTAACATCTACACATAGAGAATACATACCATATCTGTCTTTTGGGGTCTGGGTTATCTCATTCAGGATGGGTTTTTTTGTTTCTAGCTTTATCCATTTACTTGCAAATTTCATGATTTCACTTTTTTCTTTTCCTTTGAGACAGTTTTTCTCTGTGTAGCCATGGCTGTTCTGGAATTTGCTCTCTAGCCCAGGCTGACCTCAAACTCACAGAGGTCACCTGTCTTTGCCTCCCACATGCTGGGATTAAAGGCACCACCCCTACCTGGCATGATTTCACTTCTTTTAATGGCTGAATAATATTCCATCGTCTGAAGGTACCAGATTCTGATTATTCATTTGTTGATGGACATCTAGGCTCTAGTAGTCCTTTGGGTATATGCCCAAGTGTGGTATAGCTGGTTCTTGAGGTACATTTATTACCAGTTGCCCAAGGAACTGCCACACTAATTTCCATAGTGGTTATACAAGTTTGCAGCCTCACCAGCAACGAATGAGCGTTCCCCTTTCCCAGCATGAGCTGTCATTTGTTTTATTGATCTTGATTGTTCTGATAGGTGTGAGATGAAATATCAAAGTGATATTTTTAATTTGCATTTCCCTGAAGGCTAAGTGTATTGAACATTTCTTTAAGTGTTTTTGAGCCATTTGAGTTTTCTCTTTTGAGAATTCTTTTTTTTAAAAAATATTTTATTTTATAGGCATTGGTGTTATTGCTGCATTTTATGTCTATATGAGGGTGTCAAATCACTTGGAGCTGGATTACAGACAGCTATGAGCTGCCATGTGGTTGCTGGGAATTGAACCCAGGTCCTCTGGAAGAGCAGCCAGTGCTCTTAACCACTGAGCTATCTCTCCAGGCCCCTCTTTTGAGAATTCTGTTAGTTCTGTATCCTATTTTAAATTGGGTCATTTGTTTTCTTGCTGTCCAGTTTTTAAAGTTCTTTATATATATTGGATATTAGCCCTTTGTTAGATGTGTACTTGGTAAAAATCTTTTCCCATTCTGTAGGCAGCTGCTTTGTCCGAATGATGGTGTCCTTTGCCTTACAGATGTTTTTCAGTTTCATGAGGTCCCATTTATTAATTGTTGATCTTAGTGCCTGTGTTCTGTTCAGAAAGTCTTTTCCTGTGCCCATGAGTTCAAGGCTATTCCCCATTTTCTTTTTCTCTCAGAGTCAGTGGATCTGACTTTACGTTGATGTTCTTGATCGTTTTATAGTTGAGTTTTATGCCAGGTGATAAATATAGATCTATTTGCATTCTTCTTTGTAACATGAATCTATAAAGGTATTATTAATAAAAAAAAAACCTGGAGCCAGATATTGGGGTGAAGCTGAGAGATCAGAGCAATAGAACAAGCCAGCCACAAGTACTTACAGCTAGGAAATCCTCAGCCCAAGAGAGCTACTTCCTGTATCCTCACGCCTATATACCTCTCTGTGCCCTGCCTTCTTTCTTCCTCTCTCCGCCCAGCCACATCACTTCCTCTTTTTGCCCAGTTCTATCACTTCCTGTCTATCTGTACAGACCTCCAGATCTCTATGGTTAACTAGTACTGGGATTAAAGGCGTGTGCCACCATGCCTCGATGAATCTCTGCCTCTCAAATGCTAGGATTAAGGGCGTGTGCTACCACTGCCAGACCTCTATGTTTAATATAGTGGCTGGCTTTGTCCTCTGATCCCCAGGCCAGCTTTATTTGTTAGAGCACGAATAGAGAATGTCACCGCACTTCATGCAACCATCACGTTCGACCAGCACTACTTGTTGATGATGCTATCTTTGTTTCAGTTTGTATTTTTTGGTTTCTTTGTGGAAAATCAGGTGTCCATAGACATGTCTGATTTATGAAGATTTATGTCTGGACCTTCAATTAAATTCTATTGATCAACATGTCTGCTTTTGTGCCAATACAATGCTGTTTTTATTACTATAGCTCTGTAGTGCAATTTGAGGTCAGTGATGGTGATTCTTCCAACAGTTCTTTAAATAAATAAAGTCTTAAAAAATTTAAGACATCACTTAGAATATAGACACTCCATGCAAATGTACGTGCATATGCATGTGGACATCATATTACAAAAGAATGCAAATGAGCGTGTGGCATACACAGGTGAGCTGTGACTGAAGGCATTTGGAGGTTTGCATGTGCATGTATGTGCATGCCTGTGTGTGAGCCAGGTAGCGGAGCGGATAGATGGAGTGAGTGCCTTTTTCTCCTGGTGTGTCCACGTTGAGGGGGAGAATACCCTGGAGATTCTATCAGGGCAATTTCTCAGGATATGGGTCTGCCCTCAGTATTGGATGTAAGTGTGGGGTCAAAGCGGTTTTCCCTCCTTGCCTCACATCCGTTTTGCTCTCTGTGGCACCTCAGAGAGTGCGACCTTGGCTCCCGTGGCGCAATCAGTTAACATGTGTTACTTATATGAAAAGTAGAACTTGGATGGGGTGGGGCTGAACTATGGTGTGGGGCTGAGAGGGAAGGTGTTGTGGAGAGGAAACTCAGCCATTGTTCTTAAAGCCCGATTCTTAGTTGATACAGCTTTTTTTGTGGAGACAGAAAACAGCAGAAAAGCTGGTCATGTGGGGCACAACTGTAATCCCAGCTGGGGAGGTGGAAAGAGGGATCCTTAGGGCTTGTGGTCAGCCAGCCTTGACTACTTGGTGAGCTCCCGGCTAGTGAGAGATGCCGCCTTAAAAACAAGGTGCCATTGCCTGAGGATCAATAGCTGGGGTTGTCCTCTGCACAGCCTCCTCCACCATACACAGAAGTCAGGGAGATGAAGTCAGGCACATTCTATCTGTCTGTTCCATCTGTCTGTCTTCTACCCAGACCCCCTGGCTTCCTCAAAAACCTCTCTTCTGTCCCCACATGTAGGGTCCCTTCTTGGCCATCCATGAAACTTCTGTTGCTCTAAAGACTTGATGTGGAAGCTGAAGACGCCTCTGAGCAGGAGATCTGGTGTGAATCCCTGAAAGGAGGTGAGGCCTCCTTCCTTCCCCTCCACCCTCAGATTTCCCCATCTGTCTTGATGCCTTCCGGTAGGTGGGGATGTGTGGACACTTGGAGGTCCAGGGCCCAAGGCTGTGGTAATCTACTTGAATCAACCAAGCAGAATGCAGGCATCAGCCTTCCAGGATAAGAACCGGAGGAAGCCAGACCACAGTGAAGGTCAGGACACTTGGGGTGGGAATAGGAAATGAAGAAGCTAGAGGTGGGACTGGTCAGGACAGAAGAGCTCCTTCCTTCGAGGGGCTCACAACACCTGTACTGCTTAATTATAAAGCTGACTTTTGTCCTTCATGCCTGCTTTATTATAACCACCAACTCCCCAAATATCTGGATGAGTCTCAACATCTCCTCTCGCCAAATCATACACAGGTACTCACGATCCTAACTATGAGAATATAACCTTGCCCTTCAGAAACAAGGACCAGCTCAAACTCAGTGAATCAGCACCCAGGAAACAAGGTGAGTGGACACCTGCTTGCCCACCCCCACCCCAAACTTAAGGAGTATGTGTAGAGGGTGAGTGCTGGGGAGTGTGGTATTGGTGGCATGAAAGATGGCGATGCAGCTGTGGTTTTGGCTCAGTTGGTAGAGAGCTTGCCCAGTATGCACAAAGCCCTGGGTTCAATGCCCAGCTCTGTATAAACTGGGTGTGGGCACACACCTATTATGCCAGCATTTGGGAGGTCAAAGTAGAAGTTAAAGGTCATCCTAGGCTACATAGAGAGGTGGAGGCTAGCCTGGGATACGGGAAACCTTAGCTGACTAACTAGACTGTGGAACTGGGGAGGTGGATAACTCAGTGGTTAAAAGTAATGCTGCACAAGGATAAGGACCAGGTTCAGATTCCAGCACCCTCAGAGCAAACCAGGTGTCCTGTGCACGCCTGTCACCCCGGCACTGAGGGGTGGAGATAACAGGGTCACTGGGGCTTCACTGAATAGACAGGACAGTCTCGGCCTCAAAGAAACAGGTGGAGAGTGACAGAGGAGGATACCCTATGCTTCTCTCTCTGTCTCTGTCTCTCTGTCTCTTACACACACACACACACACACACACACACACACACACACACACACACACACTACAGTGATGGTACTCCGGTGGGGGTAGCGTTGCCACTGAGATGATGGAGGTGGGGTTTCTGAAAACGCTTCTGGCAGTGCTGTTGGCTCCACTTTTGTCTTTGGGTGACAGAATTGGTTGAGAGGGATGTGAGGGTCAAAATGTAAGGAATACAAATTGGTAGTACTGATGCTGACTGACTGGGGATGTCCCGGGTGGTCCTCAATACTGGTGACAGGTGTTACAGACAGTACTGATGGTCTGGCTGGGGGAGGGGGTGGGGCTCCGCAGCTCACGTGTCCTGTGCTTCTGTCCCAGCCCAGCCCAAGCCGTCACTGGACACACCCCAGGTCCCCCCTTGGTTGCACAGAACCATCATGATCTTGTATGTCCTCCTCGCTCTCATCTTTTTGTCATGCATCATCCTCTCCGCTTTGGTCCTGGTCAAAAGTAAGTGATCTTAGGAGCTGAGATTCCGGGATTTCCACCGGTTCTTCTCCCTGCTCTCAACCCCGTTTCCAGAAAGGCTAAAGGGGGCCTGGGGACTTCAAAGCTTTCCTATCCTCTCCTAAACAGATTCGGAAATGTCCAGGGAGCTGTGGAGCCTGAGAGAGGAGCTTTCGAATGGTGAGTGGGAGGTGCAGAGGAGGCCCACTGTGGTGCTGGCGGGGACAGGAGCGGTGGCCATCTGAACATCTCAAACTCCATGCCCTTAGTCTCAAACATGGTGCTGAACTGCCAGGACCAGCAAAGGAATCATTGGAAAGCGGTGCAGCAGGGCATCTGGGAGGCCAAGAACAATATTGGTGTGGTATTGAGCAGAGTGCAGACTGGAAACGACAAGCTGAAGACAGTGCCAGCAGGTACTCCTTGCAGGCCCGCCCTCTTAGGTGAACGTGTTTGGACAAACAGGGTGCTGGTTACTCGGGAAGAGATGGGTGGGCCCTGCTCTCCGGACTTGGAAGGGGGCAATAGATGTTTCCTCTGTGTTCAAGGAGAGGATGTTTAAACACTAGTGAGGCTATGGAGGTGGCCCAGTCAGTAAAGTACAACATGAGGACCTGAGTTTAGATTCCCAGGACTCACGTAGGAGCTGGGCTTGGTGGCACGGGTCCATAAGCCTAGTGGTTGGGCAAGGGTGTGGTGGTAGAGATAGGCAGATATATGTGGCTTACTGGTCAACCAGGGTAGCCAAATGGGTGAAGCCCCAGGTTCAATGAGAGACCCTATTTCAAAAATAAGGTAGATAGTCCTAAAGGAAAACAGCTGGTGACATCAGCTTCTGACCTCTTTACATATTTGCATATACAAGTGCAAACACATATGAACACATATACATGCACACACTACACACACACCGTTCCACTACTGTGACCCTCCAACACCCGAAGCTGCTTCACTCAAACTGGAAACTGCTAATGATATCAGGGCTTTGCCTGCGGTCCCACCCCAGATGTGCCTGTCTCCTCTCCTCCCACCAGATATCATGGAAATCAAGAAAACCCTCGAGAGTCTAGAGAAGAAAACACCTGCTCGTAAGCCAGAGCCAGAGGTGGGCTGGGGTGGAGTTCCAGACCTAGTGCTGGTCTGCCTGACCTCACGTCTCTCCTCTCTGACAGAGCCCAGTAAATAAGAGGACATCACAGCCACACCTGGAAGGCCTCGGGATTGCACCTGCTAGTGAAGATGACTGGAGTGTGAGTCCGCCATTCATCCTCACAGAGAAAAGTACCCATCCGGAGGGATGGGTGTGGAAGAGTGTGTCTGCGGAAGTGAACATTTTGGGGCATATGGAGTTTCCATGCATCCAAGGAGAAGTTATGGTGGAAAGAGAACATGGAAGTCACTGCATGTGTTACTCTTTACGGGTGTGTGGCCAGACATATATGAGGATAGGCCTGTCCTGGAAGACAGCTGTTTCTGTGAATCCCCCAAAGTATGTCATTGTGAGTGTGGGTGTAGGTGACATGTGAGATGTGCCTCCCCATTAGCTTGAGCGTGCATGTGTGCATCTGGCTAGTGTGTGTGTGTGTGTGTGTGTGTGTGTGTGTGTGAGACTGAAGTGGTGGGTGATGTCCACTCTGGGGATGTACTGTGGTGCGGGTCATTCCTGGTGTTCCTGGCTGTGTCACCTTGTGTGTTCAGAGCATGTGCACAAGTGCACCCATTAATTTCTGTACTTGTATTTTATGATTCATGAAGATAAATGCTAAGAGAAATGATGACTCTAGAGCTGTTATTGGGTTGTCTGTGAGACAGAACTTCAGGACCTGGAGGGGACACTGGATTTAGGACTTGGATTTGGGGATGAGACAGAACACTCAGCACTGTAAGCCAGGCATGATGTAATTCCATCACTTGAGATGCTGAGGTAGGAGGATCATGGGTTCAAGGCCAGCTCTGGCTACAAAAGATGAGTTGGCACAGAGCTACACAGAGAAACCTTGTCTCAAAAAACCAAAAAAAACAAAACAAAACAAAACAAAAAAAACAAAAAACAAGATGAGTTGGGGTGTGTAGTGAGCTGGCGCAGAATGTAAAAGGCGCTTGGCCAAGCCTTAACTGAGTTCCATCCTTGGGACCCCCACAGTAGGAGAAGAGAAGGACCTCCCCCCACCTCTGACCCGCACATGCATACCGTGGCATATGCACACACAAATACTAAAATAAAAATAAAATTTAAAAATACCCGAAGGTATCTATAGCCTACCACAGAGACACTTGCTCACCCATGCAATGGATGATAGACTAGAGCTTATTGCTGCTCTATTCACAATAGCCAGGAAATGGAAACAGCATAGATGTCCATCAACTGATGGTTATGAAAATGTGGTGCACGCATACACGATGGGATTTATTCAGCACAAAAGAAAAATTAAATCTGCAGGAAAATGGATGGGACTGGAAATCATTGTGTTAAGTGAGATAAGCCAGACCGAGAAAGACAAAGACTGTATGTTACCTCTTGTATGTGGAGTCTAGCTCCACACCCGCGTCAGTGGAAGGATACTGGGGCGGTAGGATCCTAGTGGGATTGGGGGCCAGGAAGATGGAGGAGCAGAGAACTGAGGAGAGAATCAACCCAAACTAGATAGCTATGAAAATGTCATAAAGTAAGCTAATTCAAAACAGCAAAATGCTCAGGGTAGATCTCAGCTAGGCAGCTGAGCCGGGTGGACATGCGCGCCCCCTTGCGGCTGTTCTCCCGCACAGCCTGGCTATGCCTCTCCCCGCCCCTCCCCGTACATGAGCCCGCCTGGCACCCTTTTTACTAGTCAAAGCGCTCGTGAACCACCCGGTGCAGTTTCGGTGAGACCCCAGCCCTGCCTGCACCGGCGTCGTCTTCCTCTGCATCTCAGCCGCGTCTCCCATTCTGTCTGCTTTGAATTGTTCTGGGGGTGGCGGGGAGGTCTCGAGGCACCGGGCCTGGAGCAGCTCAGCTCAGTCTCCCACGCATTCTACACAGTCCCCTTCCCGGCTGGCGTGCAGTACCGCCCAGTCCCAATCTCTGCAAACCCGGGTCCTGGTGCATGCGTAGTGGGGAAGGACTCTTCAAACCCATTCCACAAGAGTGTCCGCTGTTGCTTCACCCGGGGCTCCACTTCGCTTCGGAGATCTTTTCCTGGAACCTCCCGCTATCCAATTCCAGCTTCTTGGTCTGCTGTGGCTTCCTGCTGTGGTAGCGATAGTCTTCTCTAGGTGGAGGCGGCCCTTGTCTCCTCCCAAAAGGGTTAATGCAGTGGGGGCAGGTCAGGGTCCTGGCAAGGGGACCACCCGTGGGGAGGTGGCTTCACCTTCCAATGATGGTACTCGTTGGGCTAATTAGGTTCTGCCGAGTCTATAAGCAACCCGCCCCCCCCCCGCCCGCGACCCCCACCTTTTCTTTTCTTTTAGGGTGATGGCTATAGTCTGAGCATGTCTTTAAGTTTCCCAACGGTCTGGCTTGGGCTTCCTTAGTCATTTTTCTAAAGCTCCAGTCCCTACCACGTGTGACCTCCATGACAGTTGATTGTCTCTGTTCTCCTCTGGGCACCTCGCCTGCCCTGAGACCTGCAGTTTGCCCTCCCTGGGCTTTTCATTTTAAACTCATATACATTGCCCTCAAGACTCCGTTTGAGTTAGCTCTTCCCGCCTCAGTGTCTTGATTCTGACTTTTTTTCCTGGAGCTATGGGGACTTCATAGACTTGTATCCCAAATAGAATTAGGGGGTGACGTAAATCTGTGTTCCCTGGGCTACGACCATTGATAATTTGCCTGCGGAATAAATTATCTCTTATCTCTTTTGAAGTGAGAGTTTGCATTGATAGGGCAGAGGCAGGAGGATTGCTGCAAGTTCAAAACCATCCTGGGATAGATATAGCCAGACTAAAAAAATGTAATTATGGTTATGGGGGGGGGGGGCTTATTAGATGGCGGTGGATGCAAAATGCTTGTCGACGAAGTGGAGAAATCTCTGCTATAGGTCTCAGGTGTCGTCTGAGGACAGCGTTTTAGTTCCTGGACCCTGGTATTCTGCCAGTTGATACATCCCAAAAGGTCAGACAAAGAGAACCCAACATAAATTGTACTTAGGTTCTGGACCTGCAACATTCCAACCTCCCCACAATTAACGAATCTCTATCAGTGGATCAGCCTTGCAGAAGGTTCCATAAAAGGTGCAATTCCTTTGCTCACAGGCTCCGGTGTGTTGCGGGTACCCTCAGGGCTTTTGGGCTTGGGATAGTCTAACCAGCTTGTTCTGGGGACCCTAACTCTGTCTGAGTCCTAGATGCTGGGATTATAGGTGACCCCACACATGCCTGCCTGGCTTTTAGGTGAGTTCAGGGGATCTGAGCTCTGTAGGTGGAATTTCTATGTGTCCCAGTAGTTGCTCTCAAATAATTACATATATATTTATCTACCCTATGCCACATGGTGGTACCTTCTTTCAACATAGCACGCCCATCTTGCTTCTTTCTGTGTCCCTCTTGACTCCTCAGACTCCGCCCCTTTTCCTCCCAGCATGCTCTGTGTCTTGCTGTCCCGCCTATACCTCCTGCCTAGCTACTGGCCAGTCAGCTCTTTAATTAAACCAATCAGAAGGTGCCTTGGCAAAGACACATCTTCACAGTGTACAAAAAGATTATTCCATAACATTTCCCCCTTTTGGTCTAATTAAAAGAGAAGGTTTTAACTTTAACATAGTAAGACTATATACAACAAAGACAGTTATCAAGTAAGAATTACAACATCCAGTCCATTTTTATTTGGAAAAATTAGAGAAAATACTCTATTTATCTTATCTTTGTGAGTCCAAAGTTTTATACCTAATTTACTTTTTATCATAGCTAAGGAAAACTATAAGCTTAATTACTAAGTCTTTGTTAACTCCATCAAAGACCCCAGAAGGGTGTAATATTACCTGAGTAAACAGGAAGTACAGAGCAAACAACTTACAAAACTAAGAAATGACAGAAAGAGCTGGCTGCCTGGACAGTCACCTAAGGTTCCTATGCAATGTTGGGGGCATCCATCTTTGGACTACAGGCCTAGCATATCTGACAGACTTTTCTGTCAAGTAGGAATTTTGAAGGATTGTCCCACCTTGTCTTGGCAAAGTTCAACAGTTGCTTTCTTTTGTGTCCTGCTTTTTGTGTTCAATTTGGACAGCAGCCTGTCAGCAGTTTAGGCAAGGGCAAGTTTCTTGCCCAGTGGCTAACTATCGCCACAAAGAAAGCAAACTCCATATGGAGTTTCTTCAGTGTCCATCATCTTCACTGAAGTAGATTGGTGCTGCCAGGAGCAGTCATGTCTCATTGTCATAAAAAGCCTTATGTTATTAAAACATTTTAAACGCCATACTCTTTAGATCTATGAAGTGTTTGAAGACAACCTGTTTATCTAAAATATATTTGTTTGACCTTGAAAACATCTAACATGACTACAAGTTTGATTATTATCATAGATGATGAACTACTAACCTGTATTTCTTAATTATACATCATATTTTTAAATGAGCTGTATAAGCACAATACACCAAACAAGAGTAGAAACATACATATAGTATAAAAAATAACTTTAAATTTGTATCAATAAACCAAAATCCCCACCAATGTAAAATATTTTGAGATTAATAGTTGTTTTTTTGATTAAAGGAGATTCAATAATCTACCCTTCTTTCCCTATCATTCCTTATCATATCCCTTTTTCCTTTTAGATATTTTTTGAATTTAATTATTGTTTAGTCTTTTTTTTCAACTAAGACCAATAACAATTTGTAAACCCTCCCCCCACTTAGATGGTAATAAATATCCATAACCCATTTCTTGGGAATGTGGGCATTGTTCTCTAGACTATTTCCTGATGTTTAGGAGCATTGGAAACTTTGGGGAACCCTGAATAAATTCAGGATAACGGTTAAGTCTTGGCTGGAGTAGTTTGTGTGGCTGGACCATCTCAGCCAGCAGCCTTGAAGCTATTTTGATACAGAACTCTGAGGAAACTGCAACAGAGGCACTCTGAGGTGCTGGATCACCTGGGCCATTTGTTTTCATTGTTGTAAGTTCCCCTTGCTCTGAAAATACATAAACTTTTAAAAGGTAACATACATATCTGTATTAGTACAACTATAGACTGTGTGTTGTACACGAATTAGCCAAAGATGATTTTTTTGTTTTATGTTTGAGCAGGTAAAATATACATTACATGTTTTGTAGTTTTTTTTAAGGCTTATTTCTTTATGTCTGTAGTAAGGATTTTCAGGGGTGTTCCTTGACCAAACCTGATCATCTTTAATCTGGAATAAATCCGCAGCCTCTCATTTCCTGTGGAAATAAAAGCATAACCTCTCTCCCAAAGCAACACATCTTTTGACTTCCATTTTGAAGTCAAGACATTTTAAAAAATATATACATTGATTTAATCTAGTAGTTTTCATAATCCAATGTCTTAGCAGCTGTCCTTTATTAGCAATCAGAAAAATCTAAAGACAACACAATAATGTACAGAATCCAGATTCTCTGTGTATTTTCCATCTTTACATGGCTTATTATATTTTTTTACTTTATACCTTTTTAAGGACTTTATTATTTTTAAACTATTTTTTAATCTATGACTGTCTCTATCCTTTCTTTTTTCTCTCCCAAACCTAGATATAATTTTAAACACATTGTGACCCATTTAGAGTTGTTTTTTCCATCTGGATCTGTTTTTACTGAGCATCTG